GTACTCACTACTTGATTTATATAAGTCATCTTTCCAATAACAATAATATATATTCTATGTACACATTATATATATTTATAAAACATTTTGATTTATAGAAAACATTTTTATGTTTTATACATAATATTTATATATAATATAGATTTATATGTAGATTAGATGCCAGACATTTTAAATTTTAGCCTCTCAGTCTTTATATATATATTTAATTCTCTTGCTATATGTATATATAGAGACTGAAATGCTAAAATTTAAAATGTGTAACATCTAATCTAAGCTCTGCCACTGACTATGTGACCCTGAGCCAACAGATGCATTACCACCTTAGGCTTTCATTTCTTCATTTACAAAATTGAGACCAATATTCACCTTGGTTTGATCTGCAGATATCCCAAGTCAAAGCACTAAGTTATACGAACAACTGGAACAACAAGGAAAGAGAACAACTCATATCAACCATTAACATTATCTTAATCATTGGCTATTTCCCCAAGGTACTTTTCCTTTAGACTATTGGATTGAAAGATAGTTAAATGTTACAATATTTTCACATCCTGGTATTTTCCAGTATATAGTCATGTCTTTCAGGTAGCAGTGGACTTCATACACTTCACTGGTCCCATAAAATTGTAATGGAGCTGTTTTAATCTCCCTTGCATGACCTGAGTGTTTGTGGTAGCTCTGGTACAAATAAACCTCCTGTACAGTTGGTTGTATGAAAGTACAATACCTACAATTATGTTCAGTATATGGCATTTTATAATGATAATACTTGAGTATGGTACTGGCTTATGTGTTCATGATGCTATCCTCTTTATCCCTATGTTAGAATGCATTCTTTTACTTATAAGAAGAAGCTCACCCCCAAACAACATGCTGGGTTATCCCAGCAACAACTTCATTCATCTCTTGTTTTCTATAACTTCTGATTGTATCAAGAAGCCACATCCAGAGATGAGCCTATCTCCTGTGGTCTTGTGAGAGCACACCCTGTAATGTTCGCACAATATGTGCTAGTCACTTAGCAAAAGATGTAATTGCATGTCTTTCTTAAGAATGGTTATCTGAGGCCAGGCTTAGATTCTAGCTACTTGGGAGGTAGAGGTAGGAGCATCATGTAGTTTAGAACCAGCCTGGGCTGAAAGAGAAGGTGAGACCCTATCTGGAAAACAACTGAAGAGCAAAAGGGCCATGGATGTGGCTGGAGAGGTAAAGCTAAACTCTCAGCTCTTCATTGAATCCCCAGTATTGAAGCTGAGAGGAACCCAAACAAACTGAACCACCCAAACAACAACAACTGGTTGTCAAGTGATGCTCATCAGATAGGATAGTCAGAAGAAGACAAAAAGCCTTTGTTTCCTGATTAAGCTTGAGCAAAATAAAAAGGCTTCCCTCCCTGAAACTACTATTGGCATATATTTGCCAGAGAAGACCAGGGTAGAGCAGAGCAGTAAGGAGCCAGTGTGTGCGTTGAGAAAGTCTGCCGTCTGTAGAGTTGGCCTCTACCCCCTGCCAAGATGCACTTGAAGCTCTCTCCTCAGAGTCCATCTGGTACCAATCACTTCATTTCCTGTCTCTGGAGTATTCATGTATTCCATGAGCACTGTACGAATTGATGCTTGCATAGGGCTCTTTGTACAAGTCTGCCTTTTTAAAAGAGGCCCTATTTGCTCTGTAAATCCCCACTGTGACATGTCAAAGAACAGGGACTTTGGAGTCAACTAGATAAGGATTCAAATACCCACTCTACTAAATTTCTTTGAGCTGTGCTTTTCTCCTTGGTGAAATGGGGAGCTAAAAGGGCTTAGGACAGGGTTGACACGTAATAAACACCTCTAATCTGAGATTTTGCTTCATAAACAGTCACAGTGGACAAACTAAAAAGTGGATGAGGTACCCTGGGAAATTGGAAAAAAATTGCTCCTACTTGTGATGAGATCATTCTTTCTTGTAAAATACACAGCTAGAGAAAGAAGAGCCCTTCTCCGCTGCCCTTATATATAAGTGCTCTGAATTGACACATAGGAGAATAATGCATTTCCAAAATTCTAAATCATTTTAGTCCCCTGGAACAACTTTATTATCTCTTAGCTTTATAGACTAACTTTAACTTTCACTTCTAGACAAAACTGAGAACCAACTGAAATCAGTCTCTGCTGATAAAAGTATGAAGACATAAAGGTACACTGTTTGCCATCAGCAAAAGAAACTCTGAAGAACATATTTCTTTCTTCTCAACAGTGTAGATCCCATAAGCCAATAGAGAGGACTAATGACACTGTGCTACCAGCATGCTGGTTGCTGCATTCAATGGAGTACAAGTAAACAGAGGTATAAGCACTATCATGTGGCATCATATGTTTCTTGGATCCTTGTAATTGCTAGCACCTTGGTGGCCTAATTATAGGAGTCTACCACCAGAGTGCAGATATAGTCAGTCTATATCTGGCAGGAAGTGTGAAAAACAAGGAGAAAATTCTTAGTTCAATATTCATTAAAAAATGGTAGCCTAGTTGGACATTGGCAGCTCAAGCCGGTAATTCTACTTACTCAGGAGATTAAGATCTGATCAGATTGTAGTCTTGCCATCTTGGCAAGAAAGTCCATGAGACTATTATTTTCAATTAACTGTCAAAAAGCTGGAAGTAGAGCTTCAGCTCAAGTGGTGAAGAGCTAGCCTTGAGCAAAAAAGCTCAGAGGCAATGTCCAAGCCCCAGAAATGGCACAAAACAAAAACAAAAACAAGGTAGCCTAACTCCTGTTTTGATCTATTGACAGTAAAATTATGTCTAAATGTCATACAACACCTTATCATTTTTTTAAATAAGTTTTTTTTATTGTGAAAATACCATACAGAGTGGGGGTTACAATTACATGAGCAAGGTAATGAGGACATTTCTTATCAAGCATTGTTGCCTCCTCCTTTGTTTTTCCCCTATCATCCCTGCCCTCCCATCTCCACAACTACACCCCCTGCCCCCGAACTCCCCCAAAGTTGTAAAGTTTGTTTTTCGACATAGCATCTTGTACATCTCATTGTTGCAATGGGTCCACCTGTATCCCTATTTAAACAATTTGTTTTTTCCCTTCCGTTCTCCAAATTATACGAATATCAAATACAGTGTAAACAGGGGTTACTGTTATACTGTGATAGAGGCATAGAATTCCATTGTGTATAAATACCACGTTTTCTTGACCCATTCATCTACTGAGGGGCATCTGGGTTGGTTCCAGATCTTAGCTATGGTAAATAATGCTGCAATAAACATAGTTGTGCTGGTAGCTTTTTTTTGGGGGGGGGGGGGCGGGTCTGGTCATGGGGCCTGAACTCTGGGCTTGGTCACTGTCCTTCAGCTCTTCAGCTCAAGGCTAGCACTCTACCACTTGAGCCACAGCGCCACTTCTGTCTTTTTTCTTTTTTGTTTATGTGGTGCTGAGGAATCGAACACAGGGCCTCATGCATGCAATACAAATGCTTTACCACTGAGCCACCTTCCCAGCCCTACTGGTAGCTTTAGTATGGTCTTCTTTGTGAACATTTGGGTAAATGCCCAAAAGTGGGATTGCTGGGTCATAGGGGAGCTCTATGTGGAGTCTTTTGAGGAATCTCCATACTGCTTTCCAAAGTGGTTGAACAAGTTTACACTCCCACCAACAATGCAGTAGGATTCACTTCTGTCCACATTCCCTCGAGCATCTGTTGTTGTAGAGTTCTTGATTCTAGCCACTCTAACTGGGATGTGGTGGTATCTCACTGGTGTTTTGATTTGCATTTCTTTTATGGCTAGGGAGGTTGAGTATTTCTTCATGTGTCTATTGGCCATTCTTATTTCCTCTTCAGAGAAGTTTCTCTGTAAGTCTTTAGCCCAGTTATTTATTGGGGAGTTGTTTCTTTGAGGATTTGTTGTTGAGGGATTTAATTTTTTGAGTTCTAAGTATATTTTAGACATGAGACCCTGGTCTGTTGTGTGGCTAGTGAAGATCTTCTCCCAGTCTGTGGACTTTCTATTGATCTTACTAGCAATGTCCTTTGCCATGCAGAAGTTCTGAGACTTCATGCAATCCCATTTGTCCAACCTTTCTTTGATTTGTTGTGTTTCTGGGTCTCTATTAAGAAAATTTTGGCCTGTGCCAAGGATACCTAGGGTTTCTCCTATTCCTTCCTGTAATGTTTCAGGGTGTCTGCTTTGACTCCGAGATCTTTGATCCATTTGGAGTTGACTCTGGTGCAGGGTGATACATAAGGATCTAGCTTTAGTTTTCTGCAAGTGATTAACCAATTTTGCCAGCACCATTTACTGAAGAGGTTGTCTTTCTTCCATTCTATTGTTTTAGCTCCCTTATTGAAGATTAGATGGCTATAGGTCTGTGGATTCATTTCTGGGTTTTCAATTCTATTCCATTGGTTCTTAGGTCTCTTCTTGTGCCAGTACCAAGCTGTTTTGATTACTATGGCTTTGTAGTAGAGTTTGAAATTTGGTATTGATATTCCTCCAGCACTGTTCTTTATCTTTTTTTTTTTTGATTGGACAATTTTTATTCACATGATTTAGGAACGTTTCATACTTATACTTTTTATTCTTCTCTATAAAATTTTATTTTTGGCCTCTATGAAGACCATGTACATTTTAATTAGTACAATGTTCTCTTTCAGTGAATCCATTACAATACAATCTATATAATGAATGTCATTTAACACTAACCAGAATATCTAGGTAAAGTGTTTTGGGGCCCCATTTGAAGCTTATCTTTAAAAATTATTTATTGTTCATATAAAGTTGATATTCAGAGTTGTTATAGTTACAAGACTCAGATAATAAGTACAATATTTGTGAATGATGTCTCCCCTTCTGTCACTCTCTTGGATTTTCTCTCCCGTCCTCACCCAGGAGATATCTAGTCCATTTTCCACATGGCGTCTAGTCTAGTGTCACTGTTGTTTCTGTTTATCCTTGCCCCACCTTTTATTGGTTTATTTTTATTTGTGTTAAGCTGTTCTCTATTTTGTTTTATGCTTTACGGATGCATGTGTCATTCTTGCACAGGCTCTATGCTCATCTTCTTTGTATCCTTCCAACTTTAGTATATGTGTTGCCAGAGTGAGCATTTGGTTCAACTTTTATGTGACCTCTTTTACCCTCCCAAATACAAAAAAAACCCCAAACTAACAAACATGCTTACTTAAATTGGAAAGATGATTTTACCCAGGAACAAACAGCATTTATGAAAGAAAATGTTGCCTACATATGTTGCTTCAAATTAATTGGTAGAATTTTTTTTTTTTAATTTAATTTTATTTGTGAACATACTGTACAGAGGAGTTACAGTTACATGGGCAGGATAATGCGTACATTTCTTACCAAGCATTGCAGCCTCCTCCTTTGTTTACCCTTCACATCCCTTCCCAGCCTCCCCCCTCCCCCCCAATCCCAATCCTTCTCCTTCCCACCCCCCCCCCCAACCAACGTTGTAAAGCTCGTTTTGGACATGACAACTTGTACTTCTCATTGTTGCAACAGGTCCACCTGTATCCTTAAACAACTGGTTTTTCCCCATCTCCTCCACAAGTTATACTGACATCAAATATAGTGAAAGCAGGGGTTATACTGTGGGGGAGGGACATACAAAGCAACAAAGAGATAATCTTATAAATGCGTTAGAAACACATGCATGAAAGAAAAAAAACATTAAAATACACATCTAAGGGTTCATTTTCCTGACATCACATTATCTGACCTTTTCCACTTGACTCATACATATACTAGATATTACAAATAAGGGAAACCATGGGACCTACGTTTCTTTGGGCCTGGCTTACTTCACTTAATATAATTTTTTCCAAGTTTTTCCATTTCCTAACAAATGGGGCAATGTCATTCTTTCTGATGGAGGCATAGAATTCCATTGTGTATATATACCACATTTTCTTGATCCATTCATCTACTGAGGGGCATCTGGGTTGGTTCCATATCTTAGCTATGGTAAATAATGCTGCAATAAACATAGTTGTGCTGGTAGCTTTAGTGTGGTCTTGTTTGTAAACATTAGGGTAAATGCCCAAAAGTGGGATTGCTGGGTCATAGGGGAGCTCTATGTGAAGTCTTTTGAGGAACCTCCATACTGCTTTCCAAAGTGGTTGAACAAGTTTACATTCCCACCAACAATGAAGTAAGGTTCCTTTCTGTCCACATCCCCTCCAGCATCTGTTGTTGTTAGAGTTCTTGATTTTTGCCGTTCTAACTGGAGTGAGGTGATATCTCAATGTTGTTTTGATTTGCATTTCTTTTATGGCTAGGGATGTTGAACGTTTCTTCATGTGTCTATTGGCCATCCTTCTTTCTTCTTCAGAGAAGCTTCTCTTTAAGTCTTTCACCCACTTACTTATTGGGCAGTTGTTTCTTTGAGGATTTGGTGTTGGGGGGTTTAATTTTTTGAGTTCCAAGTATATTTTAGATATGAGACCCTTGTCCGTTGTATGGCTAGTAAAGATCTTCTCCCAGTCCGTGGGCTTTCTATTGATCTTGCTAGCTATGTCATTTGCCCTGCAGAAGCTCTGCAACCTTATACAATCCCATTTGTCCAACCTTTCTTTGATTTGTTGTGTTTCCGGGTCTCTATTCAGAAAATTTCGGCCTGAGCCAAGGAGACCCAGGGTTTCTCCTATTCCATCCTGTAATGTTTTCAGAGTGTCTGCTTTGAGTTCAAGGTCTTTGATCCATTTGGAGTTGATTCTGGTGCAGGGTGATATATAAGGATCTAGCTTTAGTTTTCTACATGTAGTTAACCAGTTTTGCCAGCACCATTTACTGAAAAGGCTGTCTGTCTTCCATTCTATTGTTTTAGCTCCCTTATCGAAGATTAGATGGCTATAGGTCTGTAGGTTCATTTCTGGGTTTTCAATTCTATTCCATTGGTCCTGAGGTCTGTTCTTATGCCAATACCAAGCTGTTTTGATTACTATGGCTTTATAGTAGAGTTTGAAATTTGGTATTGATATTCCTCCAGCAGTGTTCTTTCCGTTGAGGAGCGTTTTTGCTATTCGGGGTCTTTTATTGTTCCATATGAATTTTTGGATTGCCTCTTCTATTTCCTTGAAGAATGAGGGTGGAATTTTGATAGGTATTGCGTTGAATTTGTAGATAGCCTTGGGAAGTATTGCCATTTTCACGATGTTAATCTTTCCAATCCAGGAGCATGGGAGGTTTTGCCATTTTTTAAGTTCTGTGTTGATTTCCTTTTTCAAGATTTTAAAGTTTTCATCATAGAGGTCCTTCACTTCTTTAGTTAAGTTAATTCCGAGGTATTTTATTTTTTGTGGGGCTATTACAAATGGAGTTGCTTTCCTAATTTCAGCCACACTTTTCTCATTGTTGGCATACAGAAAAGCCATTGATTTTTGGGGGTTAATTTTATAACCTGCTACTTTGCCAAAGTTTTGAATCAGCTTGAGTAATTTGGGAGTGGAGTCTATGGGATTCTTTAAATACAAGATCATGTCATCTGCAAAGAGGGACAGTTTTATTTCTTCTTTCCCTATTTGGATCCCCTTTATGTCTGCATCTTGTCTTATTGCTGTAGCTAGGCATTCTAATACTAGATTGAAGAGAAGTGGAGAGAGTGGGCATCCTTGTCTTGTTCCTGAGTTAAGAGGAAATGGCTTTAGTTTTTCACCATTGAGTATAATGCTGGCTGTAGGTTTGTCATATACAGCCTTTATTGTATTGAGGAATGTTCCATGGATTCCTAATTTTTCCAAAACCTTCATCATAAAGGGGTGTTGGATCTTGTCGAATGCTTTTTCTGTGTCTATTGAGATAACCATGTGGTTCTTATTCTTGCTCCTGTTGATGTGATGAATAATATTAATTGATTTGCGTATATTGAACCAGCTTTGCATCCCTGAAATGAATCCTGTTTGATCGTGGTGTATGATTTTTTGGATGAATTGTTGAAGTCGGTTGGCCAAAATTTTGTTGAGAAGTTTTGCATCAATGTTCATCAAAGAAATGGGTCTATAGTTCTCTTTCTTTGATGAGTCCCTGCCTGGTTTTGGGATGAGGGTTATGATGGCTTTATAGAATGTGTTCGGTAGTGAGCTTTCTCTTTCAATTTCATTGAAGAGTTGGAGGAGTATTGGTGTGAGCTCTGCTTTGAAGGCCTTGTAAAATTCCGCTGTAAAACCATCTGGTCCTGGACTTTTCTTAGCTGGGAGGTCTCTTATTGCCGTTTCTATTTCAATGCTTGATATGGGCCTGTTAAGCTGGTTTAACTCATCTTGGTTTAGTTTTGGCATGTCAATATTTGCTAGGAAAAGGTCCATTTCTGTCAAGTTCTCAAACTTATTAGCATAAAGTTTTGAGAATATTCCCTTATAATGTTCTGAATCTTGGTTGTTTCCGTGGTGATGTTTCCATTCTCATCTCTGAGTTTATTAATTTGGGTGTGTTCTCTTCTTTTTCTGATAAGTTTTGCTAAGGATCTGTCAATTTTGTTAAGTTTTTCGAAGAACCAACTCTTTGTTTTGTTGATTCTTTCTATAGTTTTTTTGGATTCTATTTCATTTAATTCTGATTTAATTTTGATTATTTCTTTCCGTCTACTGGATTGGGGTTTATCTTGCTGCTCTTTTTCAAGGAGGTTTAGATGTGTCATTAAATTGCTAGTTTCAGATCTCTCCAATTTGTTGATGTAGGAGCTCAGAGCTATAAACTTGCCTCTGAGTACTGCCTTTGCTGTGTCCCAGAGGAGCTGGTAATTTGTGTGTTCATTTTTGTTGAATAGCATGAACATTTGAATTTCCTTTCTAATCTCTTCCATGACCCACTCTTGATTCAGCAGTGTGTTGTTCAGCCTCCATGTGATACTGCACTTTCTTTGGTGGCTTTTGGTGTTGAGTTCTAATTTTATTCCCTTGTGATCAGAGAGAATGCAAGGTATAACTTCAATGTTTCTGAATTTAGACAAGTTTGCTTTGTGGCTTAAAATGTGGTCTATTTTAGAAAACGTTCCATGTGCTGCTGAGAAAAACGTGTATTCTGATGCTGCTGGGTGAAATGTTCGGTAGATGTCTGTTAAGTCTAGTTGATCTATGCAGCTGTTTAGATCTGCGTTTTCTTTGTTGAGTTTTTGCCGAGTTGATCTATCTAGTGGGGAGAGTGGTGTGTTAAAATCCCCAACAATTAATGTCTTTGGATCTATATGGGACTTGAGGGAAAGTAGTGTTTCTTTGATAAATTTGGGTGCTCCATTGTTTGGCGAATAGATATTTAGAATTGTAATATCCTCCTGAAGGAGAGATCTTTTAATTAGTATGTAGCGACCTTCTTTATCTCTTCTCACGAATTTTAATTTGAAGTCTATTTTATCTGATATTAAGATTGCAACTCCCGCCTGTTTATGGGGGCCGTTTGCTTGGTAGATTTTGTTCCAGCCTTTAACATTGAAAATGTGTTTGTTTTTACGGGCAAGATGTGACTCCTGAAGGCAGCAGATAGAAGGGTCTTGTTTTTTAATCCAACTAGACAGTCTATGTCGCTTAATTGGAGAGTTCAGTCCGTTAACGTTAAGAGATAGGACTGAGAGGTATTTGGGAGTTCCTGGCATGTTATCCACCTTGGGGGCTGCGAAAACTGGGTTCTTCCTATGGTTCCTGGATTCTCAGTTTGGGTGCAGTTTCTTGGCCTTTGTTGCGGTCTTGTTGGTTTTCTATGTGTAGGACATCTTTAAGAATCTTTTGTAGGGCTGGTTTGGTGGAGATGTATTGTTTCAATTTTTCTTTGCTATGGAAGGTTTTTATTTGGCCTTCAGTTATGAAGGAGAGTTTAGCTGGGTACAGTATTCTTGGTTGATAGTTGTTTGTTTTTAGGGCATGGCATACATCATTCCAGGCTCTTCTTGCTTTGATTGTCTCTGCTGAGAAATCTGAGGTGATTCTAATTGGTTTCCCTTTATACGTGATTACCCTTTTCTCCTTGACAGCTTTAAGGATCTTTTCCTTGGTCTGAGTTGATCCTGTATGGATTATAATGTGACGGTGGGATGTCCTATTCTGGTCTGGTCTATTTGGGGTTCTAAAAGCTTCTTGTATCTGAATAGGCCTATCTTTTT